CAGTTTCAGGCCAGCAAATGCACAAACATGCGTCACGTGCTGCGTAGTTGTGCTAACGAGTTCAAATCAGTTTCTATGGCTAGGGAATAGGATGTAGTAGAGAACAGTGTGAAGAAATAGTGGTAAAAAACGCATCCAGACGTTGGCGCATGTCAGAATATTATGCTCTAGCCTGTAGTGGGGTGCTCTATAGCGAGTACAACCCTTCTAGGGTTTGCTATTTGTATCCTCATTCTTGCTAGTGCATCCTCCTCCTTCTTCCTTTTAAACATTCACATGCTATCAGAGCAGGTCCATCCCCTTGGATCGATCCTGTGGGTGGGCTCACCACCTCGTTGCTTCCGCTGCAACTTCCACTCCTACCCTCTGTGCCGCACGCCCCGTGGCGTGCGGCAGTTTTTCTTCCCGCCGTGCGCCCCGAGGCGCGCGGCGGTTTTCTGCCCGCCGTGCGCCCCGTGGCGCGCGGCGGTTCTCTGCCCGCTGTGCGCCCCGAGGCGCTCGGCGGGCTTCTACCCCGTCGCTCGCCGCGTCGCCCTCGGGAGGCGCTGCGACGGGCGACGGGGACCCGCGCGTCGCCCCCCGTCGCCCGTCGTGGCCTGCGCGCGGCCCGTACAGCCGGCGCGCGGCCCGTACGGGCTGCGCCAGGCCTGCGCGCGGCCCGTACGGGCTGCGCCAGACCCGCGCGCGGCCCGTACGGGCTGCGCCAGGCCCGCGCGCGGCCCGTACGGGCTGCGCCAGGCCCGCGCGCGGCTCGGGCCGCCTGCGCGCGGTTCGGGAAGTTGTGCCAGGCCCGTGGGCGGCCCTTTCCTCGCTGCCCCTGCCCTCCCCGCTGTCCCCCGTGCTTCTGCTGGCGCCCCACCCCTCCTACAGCCCGTTCTCCTGAATTAGGGTTTGGGGGTGAGGGGTATGGGGGTGAAACTACTGTGTGCCGTTCCCTGCTCCTCCTCCTCCTCCGTCTCCCTGTGCTGCAGCTGCCGCTGAGGGGGGGTGGACTTGTTGGAGCCGTTGGCGTGGTGCTAAGGGGGGGTGAAGGGGGAGTGGAGCTAGCGGTGTAGCAGCGGGTGTGTATCAGGGGGGGTGGTACTGTTTGGGGGAGGTTGAACGGAGGTTGCCGTCGTGTCGCCAGCAGCACCTGTAGTCCGGGGAGTTGCTCCGGTAGCCCAGTCGTAGCCACCTGTGCCAGTCGCCCGTGGGTCCGTTGCTCGTCTGCCGCTACTTTTAGCCGCGGGGCCTGTTACTCCAGTAGTCCGGAGCGCTGTTCCGGTAGCCACTGTGCCAGTGTGCCTCCTGTTGCCCGTGTGTCTGCAGCTTCAGCCGTCGCCTCCTATCTCCTCTCCTCTCACTGTCCCTCCTCCTCCTCACTTGCCCGTTGTGACTACCACTAGCTTTGCTCATAATTGTGAACTTTAAACTATTGCTTCCTGAACTTGTGCTCAGAATGTGTGGTGACATTGTGATCCACCGTGAGCTTGTTCTGCTTTGCTTGCTCTGCTGATTACACCCCACTTTGGCTATGGGGGTGTGTCAGAATATTATGCTCTAGCCTGTAGTGGGGTGCTCTATAGCGAGTACAACCCTTCTAGGGTTTGCTATTTGTATCCTCATTCTTGCTAGTGCATCCTCCTCCTTCTTCTCTTAAACTTTCACAGCGCAGTGACATGTTGCGCACAGGCCTATCCTTGCACAGTTTCAGGCCAGCAAATGCACAAACATGCGTCACGTGCTGCGTAGTTGTGCTAACGAGTTCAAATCAGTTCCTATGGCTAGGGAATAGGATGTAGTAGAGAACAGTGTGAAGAAATAGTGGTAAAAAAGGCATCCAGACGTTGGCGCAGTGACATGTTGCGCACAGGCCTATCCTTGCACAGTTTCAGGCCAGCAAATGCACAAACATGCGTCACGTGCTGCGTAGTTGTGCTAACGAGTTCAAATCAGTTCCTATGGCTAGGGAATAGGATGTAGTAGAGAACAGTGTGAAGAAATAGTGGTAAAAAACGCATCCAGACGTTGGCGCAGTGACATGTTGCGCACAGGCCTATCCTTGCACAGTTTCAGGCCAGCAAATGCACAAACATGCGTCACGTGCTGCGTAGTTGTGCTAACGAGTTCAAATCAGTTCCTATGGCTAGGGAATAGGATGTAGTAGAGAACAGTGTGAAGAAATAGTGGTAAAAAACGCATCCAGACGTTGGCGCAGTGACATGTTGCGCACAGGCCTATCCTTGCACAGTTTCAGGCCAGCAAATGCACAAACATGCGTCACGTGCTGCGTAGTTGTGCTAACGAGTTCAAATCAGTTCCTATGGCTAGGGAATAGGATGTAGTAGAGAACAGTGTGAAGAAATAGTGGTAAAAAACGCATCCAGACGTTGGCGCAGTGACATGTTGCGCACAGGCCTATCCTTGCACAGTTTCAGGCCAGCAAATGCACAAACATGCGTCACGTGCTGCGTAGTTGTGCTAACGAGTTCAAATCAGTTCCTATGGCTAGGGAATAGGATGTAGTAGAGAACAGTGTGAAGAAATAGTGGTAAAAAAGGATCCAGACGTTGGCGCAGTGACATGTTGCGCACAGGCCTATCCTTGCACAGTTTCAGGCCAGCAAATGCACAAACATGCGTCACGTGCTGCGTAGTTGTGCTAACGAGTTCAAATCAGTTCCTATGGCTAGGGAATAGGATGTAGTAGAGAACAGTGTGAAGAAATAGTGGTAAAAAAGGCATCCAGACGTTGGCGCAGTGACATGTTGCGCACAGGCCTATCCTTGCACAGTTTCAGGCCAGCAAATGCACAAACATGCGTCACGTGCTGCGTAGTTGTGCTAACGAGTTCAAATCAGTTCCTATGGCTAGGAAAAAGGATGTAGTAGAGAGTAGTGTGAAGAAATAGTGGTAAAAAACGCATCCAGACGTTGGCGCAGTGACATGTTGCGCACAGGCCTATCCTTGCACTGGTTCAGGCCAGCAAACGCACAAACATGCGTCACGTGCTGCGTAGTTGTGCTAAGGAGTTCAATTTCGTTCCTATGGCTAGGGAATAGGATGTAGTAGAGAACAGTGTGAAGAAATAGTGGTAAAAAAGGCATCCAGACGTTGGCGCAGTGACATGTTGCGCACAGGCCTATCCTTGCACAGATTCAGGCCAGCAAACGCACAAACATGCGTCACGTGCTGCGTAGTTGTGCTAAGGAGTTCAAATTCGTTCCTATGGCTAGGGAATAGGATGTAGTAGAGAATAGTGTGAAGAAATAGTGGTAAAAAAGGCATCTTTACGTTGGCGCAGTGACATGTTGTTAGAGTAAGGATCTTTGGATAGGATAGGAAGTGCCTTGGTAGAGTTGGTAGCGGAAGTCTTGTAAGAACTCAGATCATAGTGAATGTAAATGACCAAGTTGATTAAAAGATAGAATACAAGGAATATAAATAGTCCTAGTCTAGCCATGTACTCTAAGGGGTACATTCCCTTATTATAACTGTTTTACAGGCATTTCTACAGTGACTCTAACTGTTGTGCTGCCTTTCTTGTTACCGAGTCGCTGCATGTAACCTGTACGGTTACGCCTGTTGCCATTCCTCGATGGTAGGTCAAACGTCGGTCCAGATGGTCAACAGTCGCGACAGTTGACTCTTGCGACTGTTGACCTTCCTGCCCTTGTTACGGGCTGATCCGATATTGCGGTAGTTGCTGCTTCGACATAGTCAGGTGCGATACTGCTGCACCTACGGGAATGCTAAGTATAATTCCCTTCACACTCCAACACATGTTGCGCAAAGACCAATCCTTGCGCAGTTTTCCTAGGGACGATCAACTTTTGATCTCAGCAGGAGTAGGGGAGATATGCAGTTTGACATTCACCTGCAAAAAGGACGGTGTCACATAAACATAATGTTCCAAAATGTTGTTGTTGTTGTGGTTGCTGCTGTGTTTTCTCCCTCTCCCTCAAGGGTACTTAAAACACTTTACCTGCCACATTAGAGGGTGAATCGTCTAGGAGCTTGGGAGTTATGCACTTTGACGTTCTCTTGGCGTGGCCTAGCCATATCTGCACAGTGCTGTGTCATCTATGAAACTTGTGATTTATCAAAGATGTTGATGTTGTAGTTTGTCTATTCTTGTAATATTTTATATATAGGTGGTGATCATTGAAACATATCATATTTCCAACACATGTTGTTATCGTACGAAACACAACATCTGCTACCCAATGTATTTGTGTGGTGACGATGTAAGTAGTCACTCGCAAGTCCGTGTTTCTGGATAGGTGCACCCACGCGATTCGGAGGCACTGATTCACGCGTGATTCGTCTATTAACGCAGATAAGGTGTCTGGCGAAGTTCAGGACCTATCGCAACAAACCACCGTGCTGAGCTGGCGGTACACCTGTGTGGACACAGCTCGTTTGTGTTGTTTCTGCTGGTGCTCATCGATGGTGTTGCTGTTGCTGCTTCTACATCTGGTTCACTTCTTCACTTCAGGTTCAGCACCCAGCCCATTCACTTCCGCGTCTGTTTCGCACTTCTGTGCTCTCGCCAAAGCTCTCTCGTGCTTCAGCTAGCTCGCTCGTTCTCCGCTTCACTGATAGCGTGTGAGCTTGTTCCTCCACGTTTTCCCTCCAAGCCGCTCAGTCGCCTAATCATAGTCCCTTGGTTGATTATAATCTCGGTTGATACTCAGTACTTTTCGTCTCGAGTGACGCGTTTTTTTTCGGAGCTTATCATTTACGTTTTCACCCTTTTTGTGTGTTCAGATCGCTCTACCTTCGATCGGGTGACAATGCCGATTACTATTGTGCTGTTGGCGGTGGTAGTAACTGGTTCTGGTTTACTAATTTCGCGCAGTTCATTTCTCCATTATTGCAGTGTCCAAAATTTTTACCAACTTTTATCTCTTTCCTCTCCGTGTGACCAGGTTTCCCTGAGTATCCTGGTTGAAGGTATCGTTGTGTGGTTTTTCCAGCTAAGTCTAACTGTATTGGCTCGTCTGTGTTTTTAGAGCCCGTATGGAGAGCCTGTTTATGCGTTATATGGTGCTTGATGTCCGTAGTCAGCCACGTGATGGATTTAAAAAAGTGGCTTGGCAAGCTCTTGTAATATCTTAATTATATTACATGCCTTCAGAAAACTATCTTTTGGGGTAATGATATTGCACAGCTAAATCTGTAATTCGAATGGATGCCCATTGTACCTCAATCATCAAAATTATTGTAGCCTTCCTAGACACATTTATGACGGTTTATAATATGTAAATGCTGATTGTTAACAGGTCCACATTCGTCATAAATGGAAGTACCTTGTAACAGCTATTTACGGTGCACCCATTAACACCAATGTGCACCTTTAGTACGGGCGTTTACTGCCTCGGCTCCGGTGCCATTCATGGCCATAAAACGCCTATTGGAGGACATTAACGGACCGGCTGTTTTCGACACCAGAACGCCTAAAGTCTGCCTCATTTACAGCCGGGCAATTTATGAACTGAAAAGCAGCGTTTACAATCGAATTATGGATGTTAATGCCCGGAAATAGACCCGACATTTTTTAGATGTTCATTCCCGTCCCCGTTACGCCCTTTCTTCCCTCCTCTCCCTGTCCCTTCCCTTACCCACCCCCCCACGCTTATTTCCCCTTCTTCTCCACCCTTCGTTTCCCCCTGTCCTTCTCTCCCTTCCATCCCCTTCCTCTCAGCTCCCTTCGGCCCTGTCCTTCTCCTCCTTTCCCCCTTTCCTTCTCCCCCTTCCCCCTGTCCTTCTCCCCCTTTCCCCCTGTCCTTTTCTCCCTTCCTCCTGTTCTTCTCAGCTCCTTCCCCCCTGTCCGTCTAGGGTTCTCCCCCACTGTCCTACTCCCCCTTTCCCCCTGTCCTTCGCTCCCTTTCCTCCAGTTCTTCTCAGTTCCCTTTCCCCATGTCCTTCTCTCCCTTACCCCTTGCCATCCCTCCCTTCCCCCTTGTCGTTCCCTCCCTTTCCCCCTGTCCTTCTCCCACTTTTCCCCCTGTCATTCTCCCACCTTCCCCCCTGTCCTTCCCTCCTTTTCCTCCAGTTCTTCTCAGCTCCCTTCCCCCTGTCCTTCTCCTCCTTTCCCCCTGTCCTACTCCCCCTTTCCCCCTCTCCTTCTCTCCCTTTCCTCCAGTTCTTCTTAGCTCCCTTCCCCCCTGTCCTTCTCTCCTTTACCCTTTGCCATTCTCTCCCTTCCCCCCTGTCTTTCCCTCCCTTTCCCCGTGTCTTTCTCCCACTTTTCCCCCAGTCCTTCTGCCCCTTTCCCCCTGTCCTTCCCTCCCTTTCCTCCAGTTCTTCTCAGCTCCCTTCCCCCTGTCCTTCTCCCCCTTTCCCCCTGTCCTTCTCCCCCTTTCCCCCTGTCCTTCCCTCCCTGCACTCCAGTTCTTCGGGGCTCCCTTCCCCCCTGTCCTTCTCTCCTTTACCCCTTGCCATTCTCTCCCTTCCCCCCTGTCTTTCCCTCCCTTCCCCCCTGTCTTTCTCCCATTTTTCCCCCAGTCCTTCTGCCCCTTTCCCCCTGTCCTTCCCTCCCTTTCCCATGTTCTTCTTAGCTCCCTTCCCCCCAGTCCTTCTCCCCCTTTCCCCCTGTCCTTCTCCCCCTTTCCCCCTGTCCTTCTCCCCCTTTCCCACTGTTCTTCCCTCCCTTTCCTCCAGTTCTTCTCAGCTCCCTTCCCCTTGTCCTTCTCCTCCTTTCCCCCTGTCCTACTCCCCCTTTCCCCCAGTCCTTCTCCCCCTTTCCCCCTGTCCTTCCCTCCCTTCCCCCCTGTCCGTCTTCTCATTTCCCACTGTCCTTCGCCCCTTTCCCCACTGTCCTTCTCTCCCTTTCCTCATGCCCAAAGCTCCCTTTCCCCTGATGCCCGTCTCCCCTTTTTCCCCCTGTCCTTCTCTCCCTTTCCGCATGCCGTTCTCCCCCTTTCCCTGTGTCCTTCTCTCCCTTTCCCCCTGTACTTCTCTCCCTTCCGTTCCCTTCCTGTCAGCTCCCTTCGGCCCACACCTTCTCCTCCTTTCCCCCTGTCCTTCTCCCCCTTTCCCCCTGTCCTTCTCCCCCATTTCCCACTGTCCTTCTCTCCCTTTCCCCATGCCCTTCTCCCCCTACCCCCCTGTCCTTCTCTCCCTTCACTTGCCTTCTTCTGACCTCCCTTTCCCCCTGTCTTTCTCCCCTTCGCCCCACCGCCCTACTTTCAAATTTGTGTGCTTTATCCCCATTTCTAGGTACGGATGGTGGTCGCAAAGCTTGACACGTTGGGTATGAAGGGATTCACTTAGCATGCGGCCTCTAAAATCTGTTTTTAATATGAATGTATAGACTATGATCACAAGTACCTATTGTTAGATGAATAGTAATATGCTTGCAAGAATGCATGATGACACAGATAAGAGATGCAAGATGTCATAAATAAATGCATAAAAATGTTCCAGGGGACACCTTTTGGCATGGCATCCGTCATTCACTACTGTGAGGAAACAAACTGGCATGAACCTCTCATTCATAATCGGTGGTATAACATATGTGGTGCATTTGAATGTCTCATGCCAAGGCCACGGCCTAGTGCAGTACGAAAGGAAAGGAACGAAGGGTGATGACTGTGTCATGGCTGAAAGAACTAGGCCAAGGCACAATAATCATCCTATGTTCGCGGCTCAATTCTTCTCTCCCTGTACTTCGACGCTCCACCCCATTCTCTCATGTCATAAGCCTGTCTCTTTCCCCTTGTCAAAGCATATATGTCCATCGGAATACAGTATTTCATGCCAAGGCATGAAGAGTTTAGCTATGAAGAGAACCTAGGGTGATTATTGTGTCCTGGCTGAAAGAACTAGGCCAAGGCACAATAATCACCCTAGATCCATGACGCAATGTTCTTCCATTGTTTGACCGCTTCACCCCATTCTCTCCATGTGCCTTCCTGGTGGATCTCCAATGTTCCCCTTCTCCGCTCGCTGCTATGCTCTTCCATTTGCATCACAGGCTCCTCAGCTTTCTCACCCTCTTGCCAATCAGAGCCAGTATACACCACACCATGCCCCTCCTTCAAACCTTGGCTGCACGAGGGTGTGTTGAAAGGGTATGTGGGAGGGAGTTGGGATGAAGAAGTCGAGTTTGCAAACACACACACACACCTCTGCTCCCTTCTAGCTCTCTCTCTCTCTCTCTCTCTCTCTCTCTCTCTCTCTCTCGAACGAGCGAAAAATTCCAGCGTTTCACTCTCTCTCACATACACACACTCATATACTCTCGCAAACACATTCATACATGCACACACACACCCTAAAACACGCACATACACACACACATACATACACTCACACACACACTCACACACACACACACATACATACACACACACACACATACACACACACACACACACAGACACAGATACAGACACACACACACACACAGACATACAGACACACAGACACACACACACACACACACACACACACACACACACATACACACACACACATATACACACATACACACACACACACATACACACACACACACACCCACAGGCACACGCATATACACACCCCTTTTGGGGAAATAATATAGGAACGGTGCGGAAAATGTGCATGCATTCGATCTTATCAAAAGAACCACAGAGAACTAGTCACATACCTAGTTCACAGCCCCTCAAGGCCCCACGCAGGTGTTTGTTGAGTCACCTGCAGGTTACGCATGGTGGGAAAGGGAGATGACGCGTTGTAATGGTATCACGCGTTGTAAACATATATGGCACGATGCATAATGAAAACTCCTATGAAGAAGCGATAAAACATAGCACAACCCACCTAGGATGAGTCTTCGCGGACGTCGGCTTGTTCTCGGGCGCTTAGAAGGAGTGCATGGGCTAGATGTATGGGTGACGTGTCGAGATGGCTCCGATTGTGGAGTAGTGGGAGCTACAGTCGAAGGCGCCGCTTCGGGAGCATCCTCATGGGCATCCTCCGCGTCATCACCAGCCAAGCAATTCCATTCCTTCATTATCTCATCCACCCATTCCCACTTCATAGGCCCAAGGATGCGATCCTTTTTTCCACGCCGGATGCGTGTAGCACGCCTTATACGAATTTTGGTGGCTATCACCTCCCGATCCTGCGAGTTGTTCCAGTGTAGAACTGTCAACCCAATTCGTGGCCTCATACTTCCATGAAAACGGATCCTTTTAGGAGCATACATGCAAATCAAAGAGTGGAACGATTCGTTCATCCAGTTGCTAGCCCCTAGCACGTACGGCTTCATCTGTTCAGGACCACAATTTGCAGCCAGCCACTCTTTGAAGGCCAGATGGGCTTTCCGGCCCCCATCCATCTGAAACACACATAGGGACAACTCCCATCCGCATGCATTGCGAGTGATCCCCTGCCCAGTGATCCGCAGCTAATCCAATCTCCTCGGCAACGTCCACTGCACTCATAGGGTGGCCATCTCGCGCTTTTGCAGCGCACCTAGACATTACATGGTGAAAATGGACGCAACATCTTTGCGGAACCGTCACCTCACGGGCCGGTGCATCAACTTCATCGTCCTGGCCACCCTCATCATCATCAACGGCTGATGCCTTTCGCTTACGTGGAACTCGGTTCACCCATCTTGGCTTACATTTGGCTGCTTTGGGGGGGATTTCACCCGTGTGCTCACTTGCAGTCGTTTGCGTCATGCTATTCTCGATTTCAGCCATGGCCGTCCCTGAGAATGGATTGGGATGAAAAGAAGATTGCATTGCAAATGAGAAAGCAATTGTGAAGTCATAGACAAAATGGCATAGGCATAACATGCATTGATGCGCGCGAAGATGTCATGGCACATTGGGGCAAGATGCGATAGGCTAGCATGTCTTATTGCGGGGGATGTCGTGGTGCAGTGTGTAAATATGGCGTTGGCATAGGCCGGCAGGCATGCATGATGGCCTATGCCATGGTGAAAAGATGCCATGGCATAGGCCAGCAGGCCTATGCCAGGGCACGTTGAGGCAATATGGTATAGCCTTCCATGTGTTATTGCGGCCAATGGCATGGCATAGGCCTTCCAAATACCATTGCTGACAAATTCCATGGCACATTGACTCAACATGGCATAGGTTGTCATGTGTTATGGAGAGAGGCGATATTGCATGGCCAGCAAGCATTCGAGTGGCATATGCCATGGTGCAAATTTCCCATGGCATTGGCCAGCATGCACTTCTGTGGCCTATGCCATGGTGCAAATATGTCTTAGCTTAAATCGCATGGCATAAGGAATTAGAAGCATACGACAATATTTTTCACTTTTGTTTACACATACCCGTATCCATATCTTCAATATTCGAAGCAGGGTCGTCATCCGCGGCGGCTGGTCTCCCCCTTTCGATGCAACGTGCCGATGCTTGAAGAATCATAAACGAAGCTGCTGAACACGGACGTGTCAGATTTATATGACATAGCTACTGTAGGCTATAGTGGGGTAGCACATATGGGGTACAGTTTTCTAGGGTTTGCTTCTTGTACCCAACTTTCCCTTAGTCATTGCATTTCCTCGTTTCTTCTCATGGTATCGAGCAGGTTCCCTAGTGGGAACGATTCCTAGGGCCCACCACCACGAAAAAATTTTTTTCCTGCCCGGAGCGCGTTTTGCGCCGGCCCGAGTCGCGCCGCCCTTTCGGCCCGTCGCGCCCGTCGCGCCCGTCGCGCCCGTCGCGCCCATCGCCACCTACCTCCGCGGCCCCGCCACCTACCTTCGCGGCCCCGCCACCTCACTGTGCGGCCCCGCCACCTACCTCCGCGGCCCCGCCACCTACCTCCGCGGCCCCGCCACCTACCTGTGTGGCCCCGCCACCTACCTTCGCGGCCCCGCCACCTCACTGTGCGGCCCCGCCACCTACCTCCGCGGCCCCGCCACCTACCTGTGCGGCCCCGCCACCTACCTTCGCGGCCCCGCCACCTCACTGTGCGGCCCCGCCACCTACCTCCGCGGCCCCGCCACCTACCTGTGCGGCCCCGCCACCTACCTTCGCGGCCCCGCCACCTCACTGTGCGGCCCCGCCACCTACCTCCGCGGCCCCGCCACTTACCTTTGCGGCCCCGCCGCCTCCTCCCAGCGGCGCCGGACGCCGCCCTCTCAGCGGCCCCGCCGAGCCGCCCAGCAGCCAAGCCGCCCAGCCGCCGAGCCGCCCAGCAGCCGAGCCGCCCAGCAGCCGAGCCGCCCAGCAGCCGAGCCGCCGAGCCGCCCAGCCGCCGAGCCGCCCTGTCCGCAGCCGAGCCGCCCCGCCGCCGAGCCGCCCAGCCGCCGAGCCGCCGAGCCGCCGAGCCGCCCTGCAGCCGAGCCGCCCGAACCGCCCTGTCCGGTAAGAGCAGCGCCTCTCTCACAGCACTGCCCTCGCCCTACTGTTTGCACTGCTAGTCTACTGCTGTCATGGCTACCCCTAGTGTCCTCGCTTTTGACGCTGAGGGTCGGGCCATTGACTTTGACGTCTGGATAGATGACCTGCAGCTTTTCTTACAGTGCGACAGAGCAGACGGCCTCTCCCTCTTTGACCTCACTTCTGGTGCCTCTCCTGCCCCCGCTGCTGATGCTGACGCCACCGTTCGCTCACAGTGGGCCACGCGCGATGCTGCTGCACGTCTTGCTGTGCGTCGCCACCTCCCTACCTCTGAGCGTGCGCACTTTAGCCAGTACAAGAGTGCTCAGACCTTGTACGACGCTGTAGTTGCACGCTACTCCTCCCCTGCCACTGCTGCACTGAGCCGCCTCATGCTACCGTACCTCTTCCCTGACCTTGCTGCCTTTCCCACAGTCGCTGACCTCATTACGCACCTCCGCTCTAGTGACACTCGCTACCGCGCTGCGCTTCCTGCTGAGTTCTGCGCCAAGAACCCCCCCCCCATGTACATCACCCTCTACTACATAGTCACCCATCTCCCTGACTCCCTTCGCGTAGTCAGGGACCACTTCCTCTCGGTTTGTCCCACCACTCTCACCGTTGACCTCCTCGAGAAGGCCCTCCTAGCAGCAGAAAAGAGCATAGTCGCTGTAGGAGCCTCTCGTGGTGACCCTCGCACCCCCATCTTTGAGGGGTGTTCCCCCTCCCCTCTTTTGCCCTCTGTTGCCTCTGCTGCTGCGGCCGACCTCGCTGGTTTGGAGTCGGTTGGGGCAGCGTCTACCCCTAGCGGGAGACGCCGCCCTGGCAGGGGCAAGGGGGGCAGGGGCGCTGGAGGAGCTAGCGGGGGCGCTGGAGGCGGCGGTGGAGGTGGTGGAGGAGGTGGGGGTGGCGGTGGGAGTGGTGGCGGGGTTGGAGGTGTAGGTGGCGGCAGTGGAGGCGCAGGAGGC